AGTGCTCAGTTTAATTACATATAAATGCCCAGTTTAAAAGACTGAAGAAATAAGAAAATGTATCCAAGTTTCTGGCATCATAAGTCTTAGGTTAAAGTCTTAAGTCAAAACAACAACAACATCAACACTACAAAAAACAAACAAACGAAAAAGTCTTTGACAGTTGTATAGATACAGCAAAAGCACTTAAACAACTGGAATGAAATAAAAACAAACTAGTACTAAATACCGACTAATAGTTTTAGTAAACTAGTTGTTTTTTTATTTCATCATGGTTCAAGTGCTTTTGCTCTAACAAGATAGCCAGTGATTGGCACTTTTTCTTTCTTTACTGGCCAGGGAAGCATTTCTGCGACCCTCTTCTATACCTTAAGACAACTAAACACTAGGCATTATTTGATTGGCATGTTAGTATCGTGTTTTCGAGTAAGATCCATCTGACAATATTTCCGCAGCACTGACGTTCAGAAATTAAGCCTATAATTTAGCTATAATAGCTTGGTTATTTTCAGAATAAGTAAATTACTAAAAAGAGAGCCTCATTTCCCTGAGGTATCAGTTCAAAACCTTTTGTTAGACTATTTCCCTTAAGTGCTCAATCAAGTGCTCTTTAGTTAATGCTCATCGCTGTTTCCACAAGGAAATTGAACTCTTCCTCAAGAAAGTATCTTTACACCTAAAATTGTCCCAAGCGATCAATTATTTAGAAAGCGCATATTGATCTCAATAAAATGTGCCATTGATATCGTACTTAAGGCAATTAAGTACGATAATAATTAAGGAATGGAACACTTTTAGAAGTGAGACTTATAGACGCCTGCGTCATGCGATCTCGGATCTTTGTTACCAAATGATATATAAAGCACTTTACCTTGGGTCCACAGAATCACAGGTCCCAGAGTGGTGAACATCTTCAATTCTACAGAATTGAGCTGAAATGGCATMCAAACGAGMGAGTCTTCTGCTGGTCGTTTTAGTTATATGTTTGCTCAGTGAAACAATGCATGTCCARGGCTCTTTTCCAGCAATAAATTGGGGTAAAAGAGAAGAAAAGGTATGTTATAAAACTAAATTTGTCTCACAGTTTTCCCTGAAACGCATTTGGTCATCACTATTAGTAATTGCTTGCCCATTTTATATTTTCATAATATCAGTTATATATCTGAGTTATTTTAGTCTTGGAATGTCTATACCTCTTTAAGGTCCGTTTATTGCTGATCATACTTTTCTTAGGTTTCTTGTGGCATTCGCAATAAAATCACTACTGAAAAAGCTAACTTCCGAAAGTTGGTTAAGCCTAATCCAGATTGTGACAGTTCGTTTAGGTTTCTTTATGCCCCTCTCATGCATGGAAACTGAAAAAATCATCAACTGAAAAAAAACATCAACTGAAAAAAAACATCAACTGAAAAAAAACATCAACTGAAAAAAAAAGATGCTCGCTAACTTATGTAAATTTATCAAATATATAGAGTAGTATTGATATTTCAAATATAAACCTTTATCAACTTGTCATAAAACTACAGATTATGGTTTAATGACCTCTACTTAACATAATTTCAAAGTATTTGAATGATGGGCGATCTGTTCAGTTTAGCGAGAAAACTGAGCAAACCTCACATGATATTAGCCATGGCACCAGATATAATGATATGTTAGCGGGCGGTACCCCCCTATCAATATTCGCTATACGGGGACATGCCGCCAACCAGGGTATCGTTTACAGCGATTTTACTCTGGAACAGGGTATAGTTTTCAACGATTTCACTCTGGAACAGGGTCAGGGTTTTGAAGTCCCAGCGGCACACCCCCACCCAAGTTTGGGGGGAGTATCCCCCCGCCCCCCGGCTGTAGACTGTAGTGTAATATCAACGAATAATTTTCTCGTAGGTACAGATGACAAAGAACAACCTAGTTAAAAGAGTRTGTGAAACAGCCAAGCTCTTAAACTGTAAAGTTCACTGCGAAAATAACAAAAGCTGACTGAAGATCAACCTGAAAACGGATAATAGATGGCCGCCATATGAAATTGTATGGTGAAATTTTAAAGTAAATTGAGATATAAAGAGGCTCATAAAATTGTAGTGACAATTTAGARAATTGCATTATAATGACCAAGAACTTATAATATAATAATAATRATATAATTATCAATTTTGGGTTTGCAAATCSTTGTAAGACGAGTATGTTTGATATTAAGATATAATATGATTACTGCAATCTCTGAATAAATAGTCCCCTAAACATTAAAAAAAAACATGAGAAAAGTTTGCGTGCACTCTTGAATTGATTTAGTATATATGTATGCAATGTTTCAACTGTATCGACCAGCACGTATAGGAAAGTGTTTGTTTGGGGTGTTGCAGTTGCCTTAGTGTTTTTTAGAAAAAGCTGGATACTGCATAGTGAGCTACAAAATCAATCTCCATTGAGTTAAACTTCTCGAGGAAGTGCTCCCATCGTTGGTAATTTTAAAAAATATCCCTAAATGATACCAGGCACTTTATATAAAAGGGCATGGCAAAGCATTATTTTCATTCGCCAAAAGATAAAACTAAAAWTGTTTGTTGACATAACTAAATGAGATTTTTAACGATAAAGGCAATGATAATGAATGAGCATACTGACGAAGTTGTTATCTTTTACGTGTTATGCTGATTATCTTGAAAGAAGKTCATTTGAAAATGGAATATACTCTTAATATGTTAAGTGTTTATACGATAGGACACTCCGTCCTGAGATAATGGCGGAAACTCTCAAATAACGTTTTTCCAAATGAATATTTTTTTCCGAATTTTTGCACTGCGCACGCTCTACTGCACACAATTTTTGACCAGCGCGAGCATGCGCCAATAGCATTTTTAAAAACGAATGTGGTGATCTATCTTTTTTATTCCTTTATGTTGCGACCGTTGAGCGTGCAATGATAGAAACCTATCATWTCTATCATTGCACGCTCAACGGTCGCCTCGCTTCGATGCAAAGTCACATGGCGCAGGGAAACGTGAAGAAGACTTTTTTTTTATTGAGGATCGCGGTTCCATTAGGACGTAATGGTCTAAAAATATGTTACTCTTAAAATATTCTGTAAATAGTTTATTATTAAGTCTTTTAAAAACAGGATAATCTTAAATACAGTCCTTTGAAAGAAGAGGATACTCTTAAATCAGTCTTTTGAAAGTAGGATACTGTATCAAGATACA